CATCCTGAAATCTTACACTATTCATCACCTCCCTCATAAACACTGAGTTCCTTATTCTAGAAATCGATTCTTCTCTTCAGTGGTAACTCAGTTTCTTTTCCAAGAAGGACAAACTAATTCAATAATTCGATTCCATTATAAAAAAGCGGAATCAAATTATATCATAATGTTGTTTTTTACATCAAATAGATTGGTCAGTGATGATCGATTTTAGGTAATTTATTTCTCTCTGCGAAGGAAATTCACTGTCACAGAATCCCTCCTCCACCTAATATCTTTCTAACCACTTTTCTTTCTAAATTACACATGTGAAGTTGAATCAACCCCTGACTTGATGAAATTTGTGTGTAAAACTGTGTCGTTTATGCATATTAACCAGTTGAATTCAGAAGTCAACTCCTGCCCTATGCCTGAAACATAGTGATAAACATTTGTGATTGTGAAGACTTTTCGCCTGAACGTATTTTTCTTGTTTTTTTCTTTTCCTTCACATTCCCCAGTGGAACATAGGGCTTCAAATTAGTGGCTTGAAGTTCCTGTAGCAGTACTTATATTACAGGATGTGGTTGCTAGCCTCATGCCCAACCTTTCCTCTTTACCAGCATTATTTCTGGCTCAACGACGTAAAGGAGTTCGTCGGTCGGAGATCGAACGCCGGGCCATGTGCATGGTCGGCGAGCATCTTAACCGCTATACCACCGACGCCACCTGAACGTATACTGAAAGAGTACTTCAATAATAATAAGAAGAAAATGACGAGTTGTTTGGCGAAGAATCCAGTGAATGCTGTGAGAATAGCCTGTTCACCGACCTGCTTGTTTTGTTCTTCTCATTAATGCTTGGATCAAAATTATTCATAAGTAATGGGTCTATGTTTTGTGAGGCATAACTCAAGGGGAAATACTGTTTTACTGCTGGAGAAATATCATAAATATTCTGGGAAGTATTCGGAAGGATTTATCTGACACTACTGTGTAGATAATGAGATTATCCCATGCAAGGAAAATGTATTGATTTTCAAGTGTTGGTTTACAGGTATTTGATTGATTTCAAGTAAGTTCATGAAGTGATGTAAGTTGGAGAACCACGTGAAGGAAAGGAAGTATTGGACACCTTTTTCGTCCTCCTTTGGACACTTCATAGTGCTCACTTGTGTTTTTTGGGTTATGAAAAGACCCGATTTTTTTCTTAAACTTGGTGTAACTCAAACATCATGAATAACTGGTCTCATTGTATTTAACTGCACATAGAGATATATAAACATATTTGTATCTAAGTTTACTCCTTGAAGGATGTTTCGTCAGTTGTACTGTGTGACGCGGAAATGATTTTCTTGCATTGAGAGCATAACGTGTCCGTGTTGTTCGTCACATATAAATACAATTAATATTAGTTTGCGGCGAAATTTTGTATTCTACTGACTGTAGAAAAAGGAACACTCCTGCGATTTATTTACTCTAAATTGTTGTGGTAATTTTATTTGAATTATCTAAGAGTGCTTATAACTGAACGCCATTTTGATAATAAAAGGCTAATAAACCCTAAGAGGAAATTAGAAAAGGTATATTATTTCTCTAAGTTGTTTCACTTGGTTTCGCTTTAAGGTAAAACGAATTTACTCTCACATATGCACAAGGAAGTGTAATTAATTTTCTCCACTGTTTTGCCCAGAAAAGTTTTTTGTTTACTTCATTTACCTCTGAAAACTTATTTTTACGACCTTGAGAAAAAAGATATAACAAATAATATTTGAAAAAAAATAAGCAGATTCATGACATTTTTTACTTATTTAAACGATACGCTTTCTGTTGTGCCGAAAAGGGTTTGTGGAATTGTTGCAATTCTCTCCTTCACATTGACTGTATGCTGTGATTCTCATTACGTATTTCACTTGCCATATTTAACTCAATGCTTGTTTTTTTCGATTATAGCTTGATTTCACACAGTATTTTTGGTACAGATATGCAACTTTCACCATGTAATATGGGTAGCCTAAATTTTGCAGGCCCACCAATTGATATCAGGTGTGTGTCGGTAGGGGATCGGACTGTGGACCATTTGCATGGGCGGCGAGAGTCCTAACCGCTGTCCCACTGATGGAATTCCCAACACACGTTTCATCTGAGCTCTTTTTCAAATGAATACAAATCGTTGCGACCGTTTTGAACACAACAGTTCCGACTCATGAAAAGTCACTTCATAGATGGTTTCTCACGATTAAGTTTTTGACTAATTTGTTCATCAGTATTTACGTTTACAAGTTTAGAAGTCAAATTTAATGATGACCGTTTTACATAAGATCAAGGCTTGCAATTACTAAGATACAACTGCCCACTTGAGCTGCACGTCCATATATACACATATTTATTTTTGATTACAGCTTGATTCCACACTGTATTTTGGTACAAGTATGGAATTTTCAGCATGGATATCGGTAGACCGTTGACATCAGGTGTGCGTCGGCAGCGGAACGAACCTCGGACCATGTGCATAGTCTGCGAGAGTCCTAACCACTGTGCCACCGACGTACATATCATTTAAGAGTTGAACAAATAGTAGTAGTTGTAGTAATAGCTTCCACATGAAGGCAGTAGTTTTACACTGCACAAATTCTGAACGAATAATAATATGCACATATGCGTGTATGTCCTGAGAAAAGAAATAAATTACAAAATAAGATGAAATTAGTTGTAACGCGTCGAAAGTAAACTGAAATTTGCAGTTCAGTTTAAATTATCTCAACAAACAAATTTTGTTGTTTGTAACTTTAAATGACCTTAGTTTATCTGTATGCTATGATTTTAAACAAATCTGTGTTCGGCTGTATTAGGAATGAATCAGTTCACTTTTTATTATTATTATATCTATTGTTTATTATTCCATATAATTCATGTCGTTATTAAAAGCCAGGTTAACATTTGGAAAACAAAATAGCTAGCTACCTATCATTGATTCTATTCGAATCTATTTTGTTTCGTGTTTTAACCTCTCTTACATTTCTAAAGTTGCAGCATCGTGTAACAGATAGCCGACAGAAATAAGTAAGAGAAATAATATTTTTCAAGTTTAGATTTACTCACAATAGAATGTTTAGAAAAGTTAAACAACAACAACAAGTTAAAAACATACAATCGTTAATGGGGTTAAATCTTTTCTCATATCACTTTGCATGATGGAAAAAACAGAAAAACGAAATTATGATGCCAGTTTAATAAAGACAATGAAGTTATGTCGCCTTAAACGATACTAAGTTCATCCTAGTAAATGTATGTTTTCTAAATTTATGTTTTCCTCAGAGCGAGAATTGCGTATTATAATAGTGGAAAGTTACTTTGATGACTGATTATATCTACAAGTTTACATCATTACATCAGACATACACCCATGTGATGTAACGTGAAGATAGTGACTGCAGTAGATGGAAACCTATAAAAGGAAGACAGTCAATTTGGGCTTGTCCATAATATAACAATCAGAATAATCATCAGTGTATTTCTACAGTTAGCCAAAGTAAATAATGTTTGGAAGGCAGAAATTTATAAAAAGAAAGTGTCACCTTCATCAATTTGTTTTACGGTGAATGAACATTTCAGTTTTCTATAGTCGATTTATAAGGATTAGTTTTGTTTTTATGAGTTGATCACGGACTGACATCAGTTAAAGAACCATTGAAAACCAGGGAGTACTGGACATCTGTTTCATCCTAGTTTAGGAATCATCGTCAGTACGCACCCACTGCCAGGGTTCGCGTCCCAGTGGGTAAATGGTTTACGAGCTTGCCTTGTAACTGGAAGGTGCTGGGTCCGAACTCTGGCAGGGGGTGCGTACTGACGATGATTCCCAAACTAGGATGAAACAGCTGTCCAGCGCTCTGTGTTTTTCAATGGTTCCCATACTAGTATCAATCCGTGATCGACTCGTAAAAACGTTCCAGTTTCATTTCTTTTCTGAAATTATTTTGAAACTTTAGTTTCATCCTAGCATTCGTGATCACAGTTTGTTTTATAGTGCATAATTTAGTAGATTAGAATATTTGAGTGTGTCGAGAATTATTGTTAAATAATGTCACTACCAATTCGCAGTCTAATTATTCCTGAGAATTAACAAACATCCTTTGAAGCTAAATTTCGTTTTTTTGATAAAACCCTTGATCCATTGTAGATAGAAAATTTGCCAATTGTTTTAAGTTGAAGTTGTAAAATTGAGATAGGTGCACATAAGCTACTGCTTCATATATATATATATATATATATATATATATATATATATTACCTTAATTGCTTTAGAATTGGTTTAAATAATGTTCAGAGAATCGTTGAAATTGTACCAAGTGCAATTAACACCGCGGAGACATTGGTTTTACCTTGAATCATTTAATGCCACTGAAAGATCTGTATATAAAATAAATCAAAGATATCTTTTTATACATTATGCTTTAATTGATGTTTCAGAGTTTCAAAATAAATATTATTTTCTTCCTCCTAAGGGTTCCAGAATCTGTTAAATGACACTATGAAAATTAAAGTTTACTCTACTGATAATCAAGACATCTGAATTGAAGCACTGATTTTTTTCCTTCACATTCCCAGTGGAACATAGGACTTCAAGCTAGTGGCTTGAAGTTTCTGTAGCAATGTTTATTTTACAGGATAGGGTTGATAGCCTCATACCCAACCTTCTCTCTTTACCAGCATTATTTCTGGCTTAGCGAGGTGAAGGAGTTCGTCGTCCGAGGATCAAACCCCGGACCATGTGCATGGTCGGCGAGCGTCCTAACCGCTGTGCCACCGACGCATCGATTAGACGAAATATATTCCCATGTTCTAAGAAACTTAGTAAGGCTGTCAACTAAACACCTGAGTTCCTGTTGTTTTCACTAGCACGGTTATATCAGGTGTGTTTGCAAGCTACATACATAGGCATATATGTTGATCTCTCCTGTCATTACAGGTAATGCGATTAAAATAAAATGGCTCGAACATATCAAAACAAAAGGTATAATGTTTTGCGTTAATGTTAATTATTTTTTGTAGTCAAATAGCGTAGAACAAAACCACATGTAATGAAAAATACTGTCAAGAGAAAAAAAGTTTATATAGATGTGCTCTTGTGATCTTGTGCGTGCAGCTGACAAACAACATGACGGCGACAATTTTTTTTACAGATAAATCGTCACGATGACACTACTGGAAAAAGAAAATTTGTAAATGATTGAGTGAAATAGTAATGAAAGAATCAAATATCTTTGATGTTCAATGAAAATGTAATCAGTTTTGTATATCTGTCATGTTTTTCCGCGTCAATGAGTTTATTTTCACAAGACAGGAAAAAAAATAAATTGAAGTGGGTTTTTGTCTATGCGGATTACATATGAATAGTACTCATTAGATTAGACGAAAAACTCGATACGAAAGCGTAGATGCCATCAAAAATGATTCATAAATAAGTTGACTGAACACAAACGACGTAGAACAATAAACAATCCATAAATTGATGAATTTAACAGGTTGAAATAAATGAGTTGTATTCATTTATATCATTCCGCACCTAACCACTGATAAATACGAGTTCCATTACGCGATCCTGCATCACTCCAGAATGTATAACCTTGACTAGAATGACATGATGCTGGTCTGTTAAAATCCTTTACAGAATCACTCTGAAAACCATAATCACCGAAATGACACTCACCAATCGCATTCAAAGCGCGCATATTCGTAATACCCATTTGTTTAAGTTGATTTGCACATTCATAAGGTATTAAATCGGAAATCGGTAGTTTACTTGTAATATAAATTATAATACCATGTTTAACTGTTAAATGTTTGGCAAATGACTTCTTCACGAATGGTAAATTAAATTGAACAGAGCAATCGTTTAGTGTGAAACAGTGAGAATTCTTTTTCTCTCCAGTCTTTTCTTCAGTGATTTTACCCTCTAGCAAACTGTGTCCATCTGTTTGATACGTTTTTGAAGATCGATGCACAGGATAATGAATTGTCGTTGCTTTGACTGCTTTCATTATACGACCAGCATGAACTAGACAAGCATGTAGTGTTATTTCATCTATGGCAAAAAATATTTACCAAAATGTCATTATATGCAGTTTTAGTTTATTTTCGGAAAATAATAATTTCCATAACCTAATTAAAATATATATGTTTACTCCCAGGGGGGCTAATTATTATTGTTTTAGGCTAACAACACCAAGCAAGTACACTAAACACAGATTGGTGTAAAGATTTTAAATAACTTAGTGAAAACCAAATGGTCTTCGATTAATTAGATAGTTGATTTCATGCCTGCTACTAAATCATAATTCACACCTGCCAATTCTACACTCCACATCTTTCACTCTTTCCAGTCATAGCATTCTGTGAAGTATTACCAGGTCTTCATTGATGTGGATTTGATCTCAGTATTTTACTCTCCAATGGGATCTGAGAACTTTTTAAGTTATTAGTGTATCAACTCAGGGACAGTTTGAGTCAGTATCGTCCATCAGGACACTGACTTAAGTGACAGATTCATGAAAAATATTTTTATTTTATATTGTGAATGTATTCAATCGTGTAAATCTTGTTCAGTGCAAGTTACTGAACAGTATTTCATATATATTTTATCATTTATTTTTGACTTACAGCTTGATCCCACAATGAATTTTTCGTACAAATATGCAACTTTCACCATGTAATATGGGTAGCCTAAATTTTGCAGGCCCACCAATTGATATCAGGTTTGCGTCAGCAGGGGATCTAACCTCGGACAATAAGCATGGTCGGCGAGAGTCCTAACCACTGTGCCACCGACGTACAGATGTTCGTTTTGAGGGATTTGATTAATTACAGTATTCCATCATTAACTGACGTCGGTTAGAGAACTGGAAAACCAGCTGTCTCGTCTTAGTTAATGACTATTAATCAGTTCACACTCACCACAGGGCTTCGAACCCAAGACCTTCCGGCTACAAGGAGAGCTCGTAAATCATGAAGTCACTGGAACCTGATGTTATCATCCATGAATTCCAATTGCTGTCAATTCACGAAATAGCGTGACTGGCACCAGTCAGTCTCATTCGTGATCAGTATTTGTCCTCCCACCTGACCTACTGTATCCCACTGGTCATGATTTCCCACTAGAACCCATGCAGCTACCTAACTGAATACGGCCAGTCACTAGTAAGCACCAGATTGATATTCAAGTGTTGGTTTGTGGGGATTTGATTGGTTACCGAATTTCATCATGAGCCAAAAGAAAATGACTACAATTTAGGTTTACTTTGTTGAGCGGCATAACATTACTTTCCGTAACATGTTGGAAACTTATTTATCGTCTTTCTATGCTGAATGATAATTGAACTAGTTCAAATGAGTACTTGTATTTTTTTAAACCGTATGATTAAGACGAATTTAAGTTATACTTATATAAAGTGAAAGATATGAGAGTTGATTAGACAGCTCCATATGGCAAAGTATTAACCCAGCTGTTTCATTTATTCACACATAGCTGGTTTTTACAACCTGAGTAATAATTAAATGATGACGTATTAAAGAATTGTTTCTTGTTTGTGGAGATGAATTGATAGGCACTGGCAGTAAAGAACTTTTTTTCCTTCACGTCCCTAGTTGAACATAGGGCCCCAAGCTAGTGGTTTGAAGTTTCTGTAGCAGTTTTTAATTTAACAGGATGAGGTTGCTACCCTCATGCCTAACCTTTCCTCTTCACCAGCATTATTTCTGGATTAGTGAGGCAAAGGAGTTCGTCAACCAGGAATCGAACCTCGGACTATGTGCATGGTCAGTAAGCGTCCTAACCACTATTCCACCAATGCACGGGCAGTAAAGAATACACCTTTTCAAAATGTTGTCAAAGTTTGTTTATTTCCTAATCTATACCACCATTATAAATATCAATGTGAAATCCACATGCTGTCTAATTTAAAAGACTCCTTAAACCGGATTAACGAATGCATAGCCAGTTAATTGGAGCAGCATGCTGACAGACATTCCACATACTGTTAGCACACTGTGTTTTGAAAATGTTTCATGAACAACTATATCTAGACAACAAAGAGATTTGCACTTCCTGCTTGGAATAGCGACTAATACAAACTCCTGACACTTAAATGAGTCATTTCAACCGTTTAAATGTTACACGTTTATATTTCAGTCACTTGTTTTCAATGTTTTCTACATGTTTGTTTTCTCCGACTAGACTACGCATCTCAAAAATTTCTGCTGATGCCAAATGGACATTATTTTAAACTACAAAAAGGTATGCGTAAACAACAAATCAGAAAAAACGTAGACACTGCAATAACTAGACAGCTTGTAGCAAGTATTTTCAAAAAGATCAATAAAAGATCAAAGATACTCAGTTCGCTAAAATATTCATGATGGATAGTGTGCAGAAGTGAAGCTTTAGGTTTAATTGTGAGCGGTTTTTGACTAAGTGGGGTACTTCTATTCAGGACGTTTGTTCAGTTTTAGTATATTTGGAGTCAGAAAATATTTTGAATGCTTAAGCTAAATTTCTGTTGCTTTTTGGTCTGTAGCAGATTTTTTGGAATTTTCAACAACAATCTTTGAGACGACCATTGTGCATGTCTCCACATTTAAGGAATAATTTTCTTCTTTGTAAAATCTTGTTGAAACTATCCACTGGCTCTCTGGCTTACACAAATTTTTATTTAATATAAAGTCATAACGGACCGATGAGGAGCATTACATGGTAGCTATCCCTAGGCTGTTGAATAATAGTGTATCAGACCGGTTTCCAAACAGTTTGGAATTCTACTCCGTACAAAATCATGAGCTTACAAGCCAAGTGCATGCAGTTTGAATAAGGCTGTTGCTCAGTGGTTTAGATGTATGACTGTTTTTCTGTTTATAGATTTCATCACAAGCTCACATCATTAAGAAAACTATTGGGAAACCAGGGTTACTAGACCGACAGTTCCAGATTGAAACTCTTCAGCGAAACCCTTTTATTGGGGCTCAAACTCAGGTTCTTCCGATTACAAGGCGAACTTGTAGACCATTTGGCCACTGCCACCTGATCCAATGGCCCATAAATTCCAGCTTATGTCAATTTGTGATATATATAGCGCAACCAAAATCCAGTTTCACAGGCCAGTAACTGTTGCCTGACCTGACTTGGTGGACCCTACTGGTAGCTACTTCCCACTAGAACTACACGTACTTTCTATATAGAGCCACTCGCTAGTGAGCATCGGAATAATTTTCAGATGTTAGTCTGGGGGAATTTAATTGGTTAATGGTTTGGGCACGAGCTGACATAAATTTATGTTAGTAACAAGTTTTGCGTCGGTGGCCTAGCGGTTAGGATGCTCGCTGACTATGCACATGGTCCAAGGTTCGATACCCGGCCGACCCACTCCTTTGCCTCACTAAGCCAGAAATAATGCTGGTAAAGAGGAAAGGTTGGGTATGAGGCTATCAACCCCATCTTGTAAAATAAACACTGCTACAGAAACTTTAAGCCACTAGGTTGTAGCCCTATGTTCCACTGGGGAACGTGAAGGAAAAAAACGAGTTTTGAAGTTATTCACTTCTATATAACTCTGTATACTAACTACCCGAAAATGATTGATTTGTTTCTTCGGGCTTTAATGGTATCTTCAATAGAAAAGCCTTTCTTATAAACAAATATAATTGTAAAGAATGAGGACAACACGTTTTCTCAATAGAGCACCTTTGTCGCTCATACAATACTGCTTAGTGAAAACGTGATCAGAACAGTTTCGTGAATTTGTTACACGTTAACATTAAGCAGTTAAAGGTTTTAACTTACAGGTTGAAATAAACAAAGCATTATTCTCATAAAGAGTGAGCAGAATACATTCTAAATAAGTCACTTACAAGATCGCTTATTTACTAGTGCGTTCAAGTTTTCAATTCTCCACCTTCCATAAGATGTGAATTTCAAGTTCCTCATCTCGTGTATTCTGATGTTGACGAAGCCTTTGTTTTGATTACGACATAATGAAATCAGCATATCTCCTGACAAGCGGATCACCTATCAACATAGAATAAATTATTTCGTTTAGGTTTTTTGAATAAAAACACTTAGCTGTCTAAGAATCGTTACTGTGGTAAAAATAGTTATATTTTATAACCATTGTTAAAAGACTTGTAAGCACTTCAAGCTGAGATCACTGAAACGTAAATGAAAATATCCGAAATTTTACTTCAAAATGCAGAAGGCCTGAAGACTGCAATACACCGAAAAGGGTGAGTGAATAATTACCTCTTTGATAACGAGTAAATAAAAAGGTAGTTAGTGTCAAGTCTATACACAACTTTCACATTCTATCTCATTTAGCTGAAATACTAATGCTACTCCACATAATTTCTTATTACAGAAGTCACAGAGAATGCTGTAGTTCACTGCCTTAAATGTTGCAAGAATAAGAATATGAAATCTTCATTCAACTGTAAAGTATTTCACGATATTTTATTTTCATTAAAACGTACAACTAACATTTATTACTACGACGTTATCATATAATGAAAAAAAAGATTTTCTAGTCGCACTTTTCTTATAACGATAAGGGTACATTAACTAATGTGTCATAGCACCAACAGATATAAAAGTATTTCAGGATTTCATCATGAGCTGACAGTAGTTAGAGAACCACTGGAAAACCTGGGAGTACTGGACAGATGTTTCGTCCTAGTTTGAGACTCTTCAGCAATACGCACCCACCGGGATTCGAACCCAGGACCTTCCGGTTACAAGGCGAGCTCGTATACGATTAAGCCACTGGGACCCGATCCAATGGTCCTTGAATTCTAACTTCTGCCAATTCACGACATAGCGCGACCGCTAGCCAATGTCTTCTGCGAGTATTTGTCCTCATACCTGACTAGCTGCACCTTACTGGTTACGACTTCCCACTAGAACCCAGGTGGGTGCGTACCGCTGAAGAGTCCCAAACTAGGACGAAACAGCTGTCCAGTACTCCCAAGTTTTCCAATGGTTCTCTAACTACTGTCAGCTCATGATGAAATCCTGAAACCAATCAAATCCCTACAAACCAACACTTGAATAAAAGTATTTCTTCATCTATAATGTATAGATTTTAATTTACTCTGTCTGTCGACCGGTCGATTTAAATACTACGATAGAAGATGGGTACTTGATGAAACCTAGTAGATATTAGTAATGGCCTGTGAAATGGAAGAAACAACAAGTACCTTATGGATACTTGAGGTGAATGTTGTTGTCCTATGCACGTTTTCAAAGGCAGCTTTGTATCGATTGCTATGTAGTTTCATTTAGATTCTTTTGGCGTGTAATTCTTTGTAGCAATATAGTAAATACTAAAGTTGACTTCTTCCATTTGGTTATATTCATCCTACTTATGAAATCCTAAAGTCAAACATGCATACTCCAGAGTTATGGTTAGTAACCAGAATTTTTACACCATATCTCTACACATATATTAAGATGTCAAGTGAAAATGTCGCTAACACGGTCAGCGTTAGAGGTCTATGCATACCACTTGTCTTTTTGTAGCAGAAGTATCGAGCAGAATGATTCGACATAAGAATATTGATTAATTTTATTGCCCACACATTTTCAAACCATCTTCACAGAATACGTATGACTGAAATAATCGATTAATACTCTGAAATTTTATTTACCATCTTTTCATGTGATTATGACATTGACTATGTGTACAGATAACTAACTGTAAGTAAACAGCTTCGCTTCATCAACTTATTCACTAGTCATTTCATTAGACTAAAGCAATTTTATGAAGTGATTCACTTGATGATTAAATTATTATTGTTCGTATGCAACCGTATTTGTGTGTGAGTGTGTGTGCGTGTGTTTTGATCTCTTCGAGATATTATTGTTTTTGATAAGTATGAAAAGTTTATTGACATTGGGAAAATAGAAAGATTATCTAGTCGTTCTGCTTTGTTTACAATGGGTTTTACTAGTTAAAAATGTAATATGCCTAATATAATATAATATAGATGAAAACCTTTTATCTTTACTGATATCATGATCATACAAATACAAATATATTATCTTTTGTTTTGTTCATTTGGATATTTTTCAGGATATTATTCATCCAAAATACTAGAGGAACAGCATATAACTGATAGAAACATGCACATATGAGTATTTAAACCAGTAAAGTGTATATAGTAAGCTGGAATATTCATTCACCTTTTAGATGTCCATGTATATGGAATACTAAGTGTTTTGTTTGTACATAATCCGGTGAAAATGTAATTATTGACAGCTTCATAGGGTATATATATATATATATATATATAATATATATATACAACTTTGTCAACTGGAAAGGAGATTTTCTGTGATATTATGAATAATCATTCACAAATGACCAACTTGCTTAAAGGAGTGTTTCAGTCAAGCAAAAATAAAATGGTAGTTAACATCTGCCCCTCAGCAACACTAAAGCATGTGATGTGTAGATGTGTGAAATGTTAATAAGTCGATGCAAAAGTAATGTATTAAAGCTATAATTTTGCTTAGAAAAAAACCTCTATCAACCCACTTTGAATTTTACAATTATTTTAACGTGTTGGCTATATATACTGTGTGTTTAGTTCCCTCTGAGATCAATTTTATTTACCGACTGAATTAAAAAGGATTGGACTACTTGAAATAGCGTTAAGCTAGTGAGAGATGAATGACTATAAGGAGCAAATTCCCTTTGTAGTAGGATTGCTGACCTCTTAGTCTACTAAATGTGTTGGTATATGCGACTGTTGTCTGGGTTCACATTCCTTTTGCTCACATTTTGTATGCTCAGCTAGTTCAGGCATTCAACCGTCTTGGATCAATGCGGCCTGATGCTAATAAAACTAATGGTGTGTTGAATATAATTATTGTGATCATCAGGGTTCTGTCATTTTATTTAGAATTGTAATCAGTGTAAGCTATAAGTTGAACGAAGCAAGAACAAACTTATTTACACGAATTTTCTTGACGTTGTAACTTATATCTTGATATCGTTCAGGATGAACGCAAATGAAAAGAATTCACGAAATAAAGCGAGTTCTTATTATCCTGTAAGTACGTTCACCCTTGCTTTATTCGAACTAATAAAAAAGACCAGTTATAAGCTGTAATAATCTTTCAGCCAGTTTGGTATTTCTTCGTGTTCTACCACCACCTAATGAAGAGTTCAGTGTGATATTTTAGACTATGAGATACTACTTTCATCGAAGATGGTTTTTCAAATTTTTTCGTCGAAATAACAAGGAACGATGTTCTTCCATAATTTTGATTTAAATTATATTATATTCTGAGCAGTACTTTGATAACATAGAAAGCTAGTTAGTCATTGTTGTTTGAAAGTAAAGTTTTTAAGATGGCGACAATAATAAGCAAATGATATCGGAAAATATTTAAATCTAACTTACTGGATAGGCTTCTTCAACTAGACACCAGCCAACATGTTCGAAATCCCCCTGACTAACAGGAAGCTCTTGAGTTGACATACTACAAGAGCCATGATAATATTCCTTATCACCTGACCACTTCGGGATCGATTCGAAAATTTTCATTTGAATGTGTATCTTTGGTATTTCTATGTCATTCACTGCAGGCGTCATTGAGCTCCTTCGAATAGGTATATTCATTGAAACTTCATTGTTATTTAAAAACTGTGGACAACCAAATTCAGTTTCTTTACTGTGAATGGTAAACATCTGAGAATGATCTTTAGTTGAAATGATACATTGAACATTAAATGTTGTTTTATGCCACAATCGAGGTGATAACAGATTTTTGGCTGTATGCAAGGTGACAAACACTCGACTTTCGTTTTTACTTATTTCCGATAAATACTTAACACCAACAGCCACAATTCCAGCGGGATATTGCATCCAGTCGTAAGTTATAACTGGTGGAAGTCGTTTAACTAAGCTGCTGATTTGATCAATATTTGTGTTTTGCAATAAAGACTCATCTGCTTGTACAACATTTGAAAGTGATGCAGAGCTCCCCATTGTAGGTGTTTGTCGAGCAGTATAATAAATACTCTTGTAATCTTCTCCAGTCACTAGATCTTCGGTACCTGTTTTTCTCAAGACTGTAGCATAAGACAAGAAACTATTTCGTCGGATAACTCTGGAATCATCTATTCCCAATACCGGAGTACTAAGGAAGCCTGTATCATCTGTTTTGACATTTACGGTGTCATCAGTATCAGATTGAGTGTCAGTTATAGTTATAGAAATTGGTGCATAAGACACCTTTCTAGTTTTCGCTGAACGACTATCGAGTAGTTCATAGTCTGTTGCTGAAGCTCTTCTTGCCATAAGAGGAACGGATAAACAATTTTCATCCGATGGCTGACAAAAGTATTTTGAATCCTCTGTTGATACAGACGTCTGATGGCTACAAATATGGTCATGATTTGATGAACATGGGATTTCTGAAAGAATGACAGGAATATCCTGTTGTTCTACCTTCTCTGTCGATGGAAATTTCATCGTTTCACAGTGGCTTTTATCACTGCCTGTTAAATGTGAATGTTGAATTGAGAGGTTGCTTCTTGACACAGTATTTGTATCAGACAACCTGGAACCTCTCCGCTGTTCAGAAAATATAAATCCATCAAGCATAGATTTTTTTCGGTATTGGTTTTGGTGAGAATGTAGGGGTAGATTTATGCAACTTGCTTTCCTGTATTTGTCTCTATGCAAAGTTGCTGTGGTTCCGTAGAGTTTTTCTGGTTGAAAGCGCAAAGGTAGTGATGGTGGTTCACAGGTCTTTTCAAATGACTTTGGGATTGGTGTTTTCGTTGTCTTTGAAGAATTCTCATCATCATTTCCAAAGTTTATTGCAAGAGTTTCAACAACAACATACATATAGTTAACTATATGATCCTTTATTCCAAACCTTGGTCTCGAAGATGATGAGTCTAGACGTCTGTGGAAAGAACGCCTCCGTCGTAGGAACCAAGATGTGTGTGTTAGAGCAGTGGCTAGTAGAATCAAAACTACTGAGCATAGTAGAATAGCACCCAAAACAAAGAGTATAATTTTAATCACTGAACTTGTGACCACCGTTTTTTCTTGTCCATCGTCTGTGATAGTTTCCATTGTAGTGATGTGGATATTTAAAGATTTTTGTACTGGTGGCATGGTCTACTGTGTATTTACAAAAGAAAACACTGTTAATTATGTGTAAAATAATAACATTTTAAAAGTATTTTTCATATAATTAGTTAGGAATACAATTTAGGGGGTGGGGTAATCAAAAATCTTTTCTTAGTCCATCTTTAAATTAGCTGAAAAAACAACTTTTTTCCGTTGTGTAAAGTAAGTTGTAATAAAAAAAGTTCTGCTATTTACCCCTTAGTCCAGAATATACGACTTACGTTTATTGTAGGATAAGTCATTACAGAAACTAACATGTGGTAATGAGAAACCTGCTTAATTCGTCTTTTGAAGCGGACACTTCATTTGTTATAACCAATCAAAGTATTCGTGGTGGTGATCAAAGAATAAAGTATAAAGACAGTTAGTTATTAAAGGCATATATTAATCAGGATATATAAAACTCGGATTGGCATACCAAAGACAATTTGAAGTTGAACCATTAGTGTGCTAATAATTGTGATATCTGTAAAAAGCAGATTCACATAAAATGATATCTGCACAACGATGTCTACTGAAAAAAATAAACACGGTAGGATACCATATCATAATTTTGTGTTAGGGTGGACAAGAGGAGTATACTGTCTTAACTCCTTCAGTTATAATCAGTCTGTTAACAACGGTGCATTATTTCCATCTTGAGGTCAAGCTATGACAGAATGCGATGTACAAATTTCTTTTAAATCTATCGTTTTAGGGAAAAATGATATATACATATGCATAAACACACATAAATATTATATATAATTACCCATATAGTACCATTTTTTCATTACGTATAATATATATACACATATGTATATATATTTATAGGCTTAAACGGAAATTAGGGCAGTTACTATAGTAACATTTCGGTTCTGGAGACAATATCTGAATATTTGAAAATTCTTTACTCTTTTCGGCTATAAAGCTTAAACAAAATTTGCATATATTTTCTATTAACGTGACATAATAAAAAAGCCGGAATGATTATATGAAAAACACCCATTTCTTTTGATGTTTGTGAATTAATTTTTTATGATGAACTTAACTGTGAGCTGAGTGTGAAAGCATACATTACTGAAAGAATAAATTTCTTAACTCTATAAAAAGAAATAACATCAGTATAATGGTATGAAGGAAGTCCGTGATCCGTATGTGATTCAAGGACACCAACTGCAGCTAATCTAGCATGTTAAGCTTTATAGTTATCCGAAATACTGCCATACAACTACACCAGTTGTTATCATTCTCAACTAGTTCTTACAGTCTTCTCAGTCTTACACAGTTTTTCCACTGATGCATCAGATATTTTATTGTCTGTAGTGGATAGATTGGAACTGAAAAGTACTTGTGTATGATTCCGAACTGATTTTCTACTTATTGGTCTGCAAATCAAATAAGTGGACTTGCTTCGAATTTTCAAATCCAAATTTTGCGTTAAGAATTTAAAATTTGGAATCCTCACTGACCTAGAAGTACTCTTAAGTATCACTTTTAGTTTTTATTATCCTCACTGAAATTCACTATATTTATGTTAGCTTGATTTCATGCACAGGAAAGCTTATGATTGATGCGGATCTATTCGCTTATTAGAACATAGGTCGCTTCTATTTATGCGCTGCTACAGCATATAAACATATAATTACAGTTTTTAAAATTAGAATTGAGAGTCATTGCTTTAAAAAATTAACATCTAATAACCTATTCATTCATTCATTCAGTTAGTTAGTTCATAAAGATCCATCAACATGAAATTTTCTTCTTTCTTCCCTTGAATACCTATGAAGTTGGAGCAGTGCTTTCATTTTGTAAAAAACGAATCACTCAATAATCAACTGGAGTACACCATAAATGTTTGGCTATTGAATGAATACATACATAAAAGAGAAACGGTTTAATCAGGGAAAGTTAATTTCTCAGCACCAAGTAGGCAATATTGATTGTGAAATTTGTAGTTTACTTCATCAGTGACGTTACGAGTTTTCATTGTTTATAATATTCAGAATAATAAATGTTATTCATGTTTCATAACCGTTTTTCCTGACAAACCAGATCCTTTTGATTGTGGTTAAGCTATAAAATAGTAAACGGTAGTCTGATAAATAGACGCAAAATTTGCGCATGTTTTGCATGTAACACGGTAAGCAAAATACGTCGTTATGTGCTAAAATTAATCGAATTCATCACAATGTTAGGAATCTCAAAATATTTAAAACAAAATTATTTTGACGAACTGATTTTACACAATTCATAAAGTAAGTGTGTAGCAAGAGTGTGTTTAAGACAAATCCTTTCTTTCACATTATTCAGCAATATTCGATAGCACGAAGGTTAATCAAATATTAAAATTGGTTATTTCTACAGATTGATTAATAAAATGAAGTTAGTTAAAATTATCTTTAAAAATATATCCCGAACACGTAAATTCTGCCACAAAATGACATCAGCCAGAATAACAGTGGAAAGAAGAGAGACTTATAAAAGTCTGTGCTCGAAATGTCATCAGTTAATATTACTGCATAACAGTGTGTGATTTACCAAAATAAAATCTTGTCTATAATGGAGTTGTGCTCTACCACAGTGTCCAAATTTTATACTTATATCAAAACTGTTTTATTCTACTTCCGAACTATTCATAGGTTTGAATATAAGTTGATAACCCTTGTTCTCCTCAGATAATATAAATCCATCATAAATATTTATGACAGAGTCATTTAACTTATTGTTTTTCATTATTTTCGGGGTACATAGGCTGCGTGCTTTACCGCAGAAGTAATTTATTCAAATTCATATTGACATGTGTCTGTTTGTCAGAAGATGAAGAACAAACTATAGGCACTACGTTCAAGCCTTGTTGGGAACATGATCACTCGTTGAGAAATGCAGGTACATCGAGATGACGAGTCTCAAATAGGACGAAATGCTCACCGTGGATTCCACTGCCAGTCACCATCCACCAGTTAAAATGTGTACAGTTTACCTTAAAGACTCTATTCATTTTTATCTACAGTAAATGATGAGTAATCATGACATCTTACTAAATTATCCCAATAAATTAGAATGAATGCCTCTAGACTGTAGTTCACTGGAAATCATGTGTTTTGATAGTTTAGTACCTTCTTACACAGCTGAATCTAATTCACACAATGTGTGTTGCAAGACATAACAAAACTGATTTTCGAATATTACAAATGAATAAAAATAAGTTCAGTTAACTTTAAAAGAAAGCTGAGGGCTTAACACTTTCACACCATGTTATGTAACATTTTATATTAGCCTACTAATCCTATAATTGTGAACACCTTTCCAACAACTATACACCTCATGAATAATTCCATATATGACACTAATTGTTTTGTAACTTGACATTTAACTATGATTATAAAGACAAATATTTTAATTGCATTTCATGTATTCACACCTTTGATTCAATTCCTTCACCGGATATAGTTTCTTAAAAACCATATATATTTGATTGTACAACTTGATAATAAATTCGTTGAAAAGAATCTCTTCTCTGAATATTGTGTTCTTAATGCTACAATGAGAATTATTAAATAATTTAACAGTAGTAACTACTGCACAAAAAAGTGTATGCAGTTACGTATACGAAACGGCACACAGTGCTGTATAGAAAGAAGTTGAGTAAATATGAATAACCCATACTTATATAAAGTCATCCAAACATACTGAAAATCTGTTATCAATCATTATTACTGATCTTGAGAGTTAGTTCAACTTATTATTAGCCAGCGACTAACGCATTCACATTATTCACTAACAAAGTACTTTGGAGTGATCAGACTGATCTCAGTGCAGTGAAGTGTTAGTTGAAATGGAGATAAGACAGCAGATCAAGACAAGATCTGAAGCAGCTGATCTGTGGTTTTAGTCTTTGAATCCCACTGCAGTACTGGAACGAGACTTTTCTTATAATTAAAATTGAACGATCTTCATTAGTGATATGGGTCAAAATTCGTTGCTTACAAATTCCACGCTAACCTCACTCACAAAGAGGTATCATTTAGAAAGTCACCGCTTTAAACGAGAATAACACGACTGTCAGCTGTTTACTGATTGGTATGAAATGACCCATCAGTTACTTCCCAGCTAAATGACTACAAATGATCAGGGAATCATATTTCGATAAAATGTTTCAAACACTAAACCACTTTTTATAGTCACATCTAACTGAAAAGTTCAGACATGTTGTTCAAGCAATATAGATACCACTTTCTGAAGAGAATACCATAAAACCATGGATATAAAAAACTTGTGTTTGTGCCTGAAATCTACTACCTTTCAATTATTGATGTCTTCAGAAGTAATATAAACAATTCACTCTACTTTTTTTGTGGAATACGAATTATCGGTAACTTGTATTAATCGACCAGAAAATTTCGACTCAGCATTGTTGTCTTCTGTAAGTTACATGACTTAATTTTGAAAGTTTCTTTGCCTTCTTCTGTCCAGAATATGAAAGCTAAGGAGTAAAATCATTCAGCTAAGGTGACACAAGAACACCAAATGCATCCACTACAGCTACGAATCTTTTTCATTATTTTAAAATAAAAATTGAAATCTTAAGATTTATTGACCACGTTTGACTTTATCCTCGTGAATATCTATCTCTAAATACAACAATGGCCTCAATAACCTAAGGAAACTGAGAGAAAGTGGATACTTGTCTTCTTTCTAGCGAAGGATAGTTCTTGTAAAAGATAACTAACACTTTTCGAAACTGCAACCATTTGTTTTCACTTTCTTCGCATCAATTGTTCAGGCTATTTATCACTAAGCCGTCATCATTAGTAATGCAGAGTGATATGGTTGGGCTTGTTTTTCCTTCACGTTACCCAGTGGAACATAGGGCTTCAGGCTAGTGGCTTGAAGTTTCTGTAGCAGTGTTTATTTTTACAGGATAAGGTTGATAGCCTCATGCCAAACCTAAACTCTTTACCAGCATTATTTCTGGCTTAGCGAGGTGAAGGAGGGGGTCGGCCGGGGATCGAACCTTGGACCATGTGTATGGTCGGCGAGCGTCCTTACCGCTAGGCCACCGACTCTTAAGCCTTTTGGTTAAATACATATAACTGGATAACCAAACCTTGCACTATGTAACTGCTTATAAACATTTAAAATAATATATAGCTAAAGATAGGTGAAAACTCAGGCTAAATTGGTAGGTATCACTTACCTTGGTCTCAAAATGATACTGACTGAAGGAAAAATCCACACACTACTGAATTCCTCTTTCAAAGCACTTCTCCGAAGATTTACTGGTGGCGAACTAGATGTCACTATTGAAGGCAGATACTGTCTGAAGAACCATTTTGAGGAGCATTAAATTATGTAGATCATTATCAACCTGTGTTCCTCATTATACTGCTTTGCATTGTAGACGTTCAGCTATGAAATGAGCTAACTTCGGAAACAACCAATCACATTAGAGAATATGAGTAGATATACAAATGTGGATAAATATAGAACATTAAAACACATTCTGTTGCATGTTTGTGTGTTTACTTGAATGTGCATATTTCCATCAGTTTTTATATTTGCTCATATAACCGTCCACTATTTTCATTAGCAAAAAAATGTTAGTTGCTTCTTTGCTTGTGCAAATATGGTAAAGTCTAACAAAACACATAATCATACACACTAGAGAGCAGATGGGAAACAAAATCGTATCTTAAGTTTTATCCCACGCATGTTAGCATAGCATCTATTCGCGCATATGTTTGTTTCTATATAATCAGTAAATTGACAAAAATAGACTATGGCGTTCAATTTTTCTATTTCTTATAAGCTCAGCATCTTGTCAAATTTACAAGACTAGCGGTTCATTTCCTATTTTGAGTATAAAAATTCTTTCGTTTACAGTAATCTGTTATAATTTCCTAAGGGGAAAAATTGACAAAATAAATATAAGTGAGTTTGCTTACCACTATGCTCCTTTCAGAAAACGAATTCCTATGATTAAATTATTTTTATTCTTATTTAAATAAGATAAGTTGGTCATCTCTGACGGTATGTGACGCGGTTGATATTTTAAGTGGCCACAGAGACAGATTCATTTTAATGAATGGAGACAAGCATAGCATCTTCCATTCTCTTTTAATAACAAAAGATAATTAATTACCAAATTTATTTATCTGTGTATTGTCAGTTAATTGAAAAGTGCACCTGAATCGATCACAGTTATGCAAAGATCACGTACACGTAGGGAGTAGAGTGAAGGAAATAAATGCGGTTGTATTGTTTGTCATTTGTCAATTTTGATTGTCCTTAAAATATCACGCAATACTCACGTCTTTCAGCAAGATCAAAATACACAAATGAAAAGTAGTCTGAGTAGGTGTAACACGATGGCAGATCGTTGGAAAACGCAGACACCGTTTCCTTGATCATTTTCTTCAGAGTGAGATGAATACGGTTTGCTGTATGAAACGATTGTATTTTTTCTCGAAGCTTCTTTTCAGCTGTAGAAATCTTACAGTAATCAAAGCTTCAATTAAATAAGGACATATATTTTTTCCTTCTGTTGGGCAGAATACCAAGTATATAAGTTAGTTGAAGGCAGTCGACAGATAGTGTTTGACCTAGGTTTCTTGCTTGTTGATATTTATCAGCCAGCAGAACATATCTGCAATCTTGAAGGAAGTCATTTCACCCCTGAGATCCGAACCTCCGTCACCCTAATTTGAAGTCACAGACAGTGATCTCCTGCTGGACTATAATAGATGCTTTGATTCGACACTAGATAGTGGCTGACGTAATACTTCTAGTTCTTGGTTTAGTGCGATATGGTCACCATGCTAAGTGACTCTACATCATGGTCAAGAACCAAGTATGAAAGAAGGAAAAGTATAATGATGTTTCATTATTATTACAGAAGATGTGAGAAGAAACCAGTTAGAAGATTGAAGGAAGTTTCCGGTATGTGATTCACAATGAAATGAAATTTAACTGGTGGATGGTGGCTAGCAGTGGAATCAAGGATACGCATTTCGTCCTATTTGAGGCTCGTCAGCTTACAGGAAGAAAATTACGTTGTAATAGAGAAGGAATCATTTCGAAGTAATTTTAAATGGAATAATTGAATAAAAATCAGTTAATTAACACATTAATAATGGCTGAAGTATGCAGAATACATAATTACCTAATCAATCAAATTATTTATTTAGAAATGTTATCGTTAATCGTTCTTTTCATTCCTAATAAAATGTACGAACTTGGGAGCACATCTGTATCGCACTCTGCTCTTTGAAATAAATTTAATCTGGTTCCGCGACTGCCTACTGGCTTTCGTTTCTACTTCACACTATCTTTTTCATCCCACACTTCGAGGCCGAACCCATCAGTCAGTATTCGTGTTCCCCTTGAGGACCTGTTTTGTGATGTCACTTGACCGTCTCATTAGCATATGTTCAATCTTTCATTGCTACGGCAAACTGTGACGTTTCCTTCAGCATACATGGGTTAGGTTGACGTGGCTTCATAAGAGTGGATTCAGCAGCATGGGACAAATTTGGATTTATTTGTCAGTTGACATTTGTAATGATAGTCAGAATATCTACTCTATTTCCAAACCAAATGATTTTAACTCACTTGTTTCACTTCAGATCAATTTTAAATAGTTTCTTCCGTATAACAACGTAATGTTCTTCCTGTATGTTGTCACGTCAATGTCGTTTTGTTGTTAGCTGTGTACCAGAATCTTTTTCCGGTCTTCTTCTAACTAGTTTTTTCATGTTTTTTTCCTTCACGTTCCCCAGTGGAACATAGGGCCACAAGTTAGTGGTTTGAGGTTTCTTTAGCAGTGTTTAGTTGTACAGAATGGGGTTGCTAGCCTCATGCCCAAGCTTTCCTCTTCGCCAGCATTATTTCTGGCTTAGCGAGGCAAAGGAGTTCATCGGCCGGGGATCGCACTTTGGACCATATACATGGTAAGCGAGCGTCCTAACGGCTATGCCACCGACGCAGATGTGCATTATCAAAATGTAAACTGATTACCTTCTTTCTTGTTTCACATTTGGTTTTGCTCAGTAGGAGGTAAAATGTATTTTCTTATTTCATTGAAGTTATGTTTATTTCACAATGTCTGCAGCTGAAGAGAAGCTTCGAGATGAAACGCGCGTACTTTAAACCGCAAACCTTATTCTTCCGGCTTTGACGAAAATGTAGGTGGAATCGTTACGTAAGTTGCGTTTTCTTGGTACCTGTAACCAGATTACGACAGAGTCAAAGGTTTCTTTTTTAGACAAAATCATAAAAGTATCTGGAATAGGCGTTCACAATGCTGGCTTTATGAAAAATATGACATTTTGAGTAAAACCTCAGATATGGTGTAGTGGAAGCTCAAAATACACAGTATGTTACTTTCTCTGTTTAGAGTTCTATGAACGAAAAATATTCCTCACCAAGGTGTAAAGTCAGGTAGATGAAAACATGTATAAATAGCTACCCAACACAGCATACATTAACTACCTAACAGAGGATTGTTTTAAAGAAGAAAATTTACATTACTTATTATTCATGAGAAATACCACCATTTAGAAAGCCTGTTAAGTGAACTGAACACAAACAATAGAGGTAAATGTAGATATATCTAAATATATACATATATCTTATATAACTCATTTACAAGTTCCTGTATATATAATATTGTCCTATCAATTATGATGGTGTGGATAAAGTTCCTAATCGTTTCAAACTGTGCATTCCCACGAATTACTTTCTGAGCCATCAATACTTGGAATACAAATTAATTTGAACGCTTTTTAATTCAGTCAGCTGTGAGAAATTCACAGTTGAATGATTGAAACAAACATTTTTATGAATACTTCGCAAACTAGTATCCTAGCCTAGGTCTTAATTTGACTGATTTTTTAGACAAGAAAGCATTCATTAGCTTTTTCATGTCCGAAATGTGTTCACAAAGTTCAAAGTAAAACGGTTCGATGATTTACTTCTCAAGAGAGTTGATAAGTGGCGATAAATAGATTTAAGTGTACAAAGAATTTTTTCAAGTAGATCTTGAATTTTTCCTGGTTTTAATTTATTATCTCAGTTGTGTCTGCAAGTTTTAAAGTAGAGCATACTACTTTATTGTATGAAAGGAGAAGCTAAAATACTGTCTGGTGTTGATTTACAGTGGGAAACTGGAGAAGGGTGACGTTTCCCCAACTGATTCCAGTGCACTTCAACCCAATTTAAATTTAAGGCTTTGACTAGAGATCAGTTCGATGAAGGCTTATCTTACTCATAATATCATCTTATTGAGCAGAAGTCAACTTCAATTCTCAAGAAGAAAAATGACCAAGTCATGCTTTGACTAATAACTATGATTAAACGCTCATTCAGGATTTTTGTGCTGGTGATGTAAGACACTTTCCGAGGTTACTCAAATATATCTGAACCTGTCCAAGTGCCAGTTCAATCACAGTTCTTTCTTTTGAATCACTTGGCGATATGCAATATACTGTAATCCAAATTGAAACAGGTGTCTCTTTAAATAATAAACTTTACATAGTGTTATTAACAAAAAATTCCATTATTCAGCCTCAAGTATGAACACGTAATTTTTTATAAGCATATAACGCCTCTCGGTATTTGGAAGGAAGTAAAAAGTTAAGATCTAGTCTGTCGTTCATATTATCAAATTCCTGATGGCAGCTGTTTAAATAAAGTGTTTTGTAGATTAAATTGTATGGGGGTTGATATTTTAAGAGATGATTATTTTAATTTGTTAATTTTAGAGACTTCTGTAAATGATTCCATCATTAACTTGGAGAATTTCAAACTTTGTGTTTTAAACACTGAAAAATCTCTGGGTACTAGACTACGTTTTTATATGATGATGGCGACAACTAGTGTTTTAGTACACTCACACAATTACTTCATCGTCTCTGAAAGTGAATGGTTAATTTAGTCTTATGTGCATTTCCCCTATAAATCCAGCATACTAGAATGAACGTAGCTGTAAATTATCAGTATTATTGAGACCATTTGCAAATTAAAAATCTATTTTTAGCTTTTTTTAAAATGTTACAGAGGCATAGTAAAATAGAAGTTATATTCACTTATACAGATGATACGTGATTTCCAGTTATTGTCATATTCAACCTAAAATCTGCTCAGGTTATTCTGCTACTGAGAGGTATTTATAACAAATGAAAGGTAATTCAATAACAGTTACTTCGGAATAAACGTGTGTGACCAAGAGAGCATGGTAAATTACTTCTAAGATGAGTCCGTTCGACAAACAAGATGTGAAATCCTTTCGAAGCACGTAGAAAGTTTGAAAACAACATTCCCACAAATATACCGACTTCAGTGAGATGACTATGTTGCTTAAAAAGATCAGTTGTCGTAAAATGCTGGTTGGTGGTCATTTAATGTATACTTGAAAAATACAACATATTTAACAGCAGAAACTGTAATCTTTC